CCATAAACATTCTCTACATACTTAGGTAAAGACAAGATGAACATTCAAAAATCTTTCATGTTAAAAGTACAACTCTTACTTATAGCTTTCCTAATTTTTCTATCTCATTTATTATTAACCTTCTATAACAAACTTCAGCTTAAAATGTCCTTTTTCTGCTTTTAGATTATTACATCTTAAAATTTGACTAGCTGCCAATAGAACAGTATTAATCTAAAAGAGCAAGTTAAACCTAAAATCACAGTTTAATCATTTGCACAAGAAGTGTTACCAAAACTAGTTTTAACAGCTGACTGTCGCAGAGCAGAAGTTTGAGCAACTCCTAGGCTGGAGCAAAAGAGGCCAAACAATATAAGACAAAGACTTATGAAAACCAAACCAAAAGAAGAATCAGGGACTCTGTTGGGGAATCTCCTTAATCTCCTCTTCCGAAACCAGTACCAGAAGAACACTCTAGACCAGAGGGTCTTGAGGAGGGGAAAAAAATCAACCTCCCTCCCCATAAACAAAGAGACAAAGTTCCTACCACAAGGGCAAAGGACCTCTCCGGCCCCTGCTGTGGGGAGTCCACTAGCACGTCTGCCTGGACCTCCCTCCCTGCCTCCAAAATGATCTGGATCACAAATTACCAATTCAGACATTAGCAGGAAAAGAAAGACACTGAAGCAAAGAAAAGGAAACCAAGGACGAATTATTTCTACAAATTCTAATAAATTACACAATTGCTGATGCCCTACTCTAGCACCATTTGAGGATTGAGAAAGGAAAGAACACTCAAGCCTGAGTGGAGACGAAGAGAAGTCTGATTTATTTCACAGAAAGAGCTCCTTTTATAGGTTCACAGCAGCAGGAAGCTTTTAAGGGCACACAACAACCAAAAACACCAAGTCATTGTTTTTCAAAGACCGGATTTCCTGACTCTTACTGATAACATCAGATCTTCAGCTAACGAGCTTCCTGTTATTTCAGGGTGAGTTCCTGACTCTTACAGATAACATCAGATCTTCGGCTAACGAGCTTCCTGTTACATCAGGGTGAAAGAGTCAAAACCAGCTTAACAGACAGTTTCCTTGAAGAGTAGCAAATGTTGATGCCTTAATTATACAAGAAGAAGTTATTTTCCAAATGTCAAACTCCAGTGGGCCATGACTGGGCCCCGACAATCAAGGCATTGGCTTAGATGTAAGGAGATGTTATAATCAGACCCAAGGCCTTAGGCGATAATAATATCTTCTGGTGTTTTATTATTATGTATTTTATTTTCAAAATTCTGTGTCATTCCTACAGCCAAGAAAGAAATTTATGATGAGGAATTTGAGTATTACTGAATGGGCAGCTCCAATTGTGTGGCATGACAGTTATGACCAGTCAGTCTTGGAAAAATATTATGCACACCGGAACATTACCGTGGGGCTGACTGTATTTGCTGTAGGAAGGTAGGTAATGATGTCAAATGTCCTTTACATTCGGGCTTTTGGTTACAGATAATGGCAACTTTGGGTCGCATTTCACTTAATAATTCTTCTCACTATTCCTGCCATAATTCTAAATATTATCATCTCTCGGTCCACTCAAAAAAAATCCCAACCTCCTAGTTTCTTGTCTGTTATCTGATTGTACAGTCTTCTCCCAGTAGTGACCTAATTTCCTGGGTCTACTGTGATCATTTTAACTCAGGTCTGTACCTCTGTTATCACCCATTTTTATTGTCTCCATACTCCACAACCTAATAATTTTCTCCCTCCTGTGCTTTCTCCAAGACTAAACTGTTTTCAAACAAAACTTCTTTGCTATGCTCATTGGTCCCTCACAGGGGCACCGGTTCAAGATATAACAAAACAAGGTAACGGCAATTACCTGCAGAATTTTAATATGCTGTATTTTCTGATCACCAATCATAATGTAAAAGAATTTAAAAAAAACTAAGATCACTCAGTCATTTAAAAACAAAAGCCAATTTCTGCTTCATTCCTATCAAGTAGAAAATCAAAATCACTTAGGTTTTTAGTTTTAAGGCTCCTAAAACATTGCTATAAACTATTTCCATTTAAAGATGCAAGAGCACAGCAACTGCACCAGTTTCCTGTCTGATGAAAATAACCAATATAAGCCGGGCGTGGTGGTGCACACTTGGAATCCCAGCACTCAGGAGGCTGAGGCAGGAGGATCACTGTGAGTTTGAGACCAACCTGGGCTACGTAGTGAGTTCCAGTTCAGCCTCAAATACATAGTGAGACCCTGTCTCAAAAAAACAAAAAGAAAAAGAGAAAAGAAAATAACCAATATAGACAAAAAGAAAAAGAAGACTTTATGATCAATGAAACCAGGAAATATTCCAAATCGAACATGTAATTTTGAAGATTGCTTGCCAGATATGGGAGAGACATCAAATTTGATGTATAGATTTACAAACCATGAAGAGTCCTGAAAAAACCAACTGATGATACCATATCTAGGGTAATGTGAGCCAGGAGTATGAACAGACCATAATCCACCTCATGGGCGCCCCCTTCTCCACCGGCCATGTTGCTTAGCAGGGACCAGTCAACTCAAAGCTTTCCTCAAGCTCATCAGATGTTTCAGTAATCTCATGATTTAACAGTGCCACTCTCCTTTTTATTTCACACAACCTCTTCTCTAATGTATCAATTTAGTCCTATCAAAAGCATATCTAGAAAAAAAAAGAAAACCATATCCAGGGCCAGGGATTTAGCTCAGTGGTTCCACCACCTGCCTCTCAAGCACCAGTTCCTGAATTCAATCCCTGGTACCAAAAACAAACAAACAAACAAACAAAAAGCATATCTAGAACAGTTCACTCAACAATTAAACATTCTTCTGAAGTGTGCATGGAACATTCTCCAGGATAGCACACATCCAAATCACAAAAGCTGCAATACATTTTTTAAAATTGTTTCTAAGTTTTTTTCTATGACCACATTGGGATAAAATGAAGAATAAATTACGGAAGAAAATCCAGAAAGTTAACAAATAAGTAGGAGTCCAATGATATGCTGTTGAACATCCAATGGGTCAAAGAAGAAATCACAAGGAAAATCAGAAACTACTTTGAGATGATGAACAAAAACATAGTGCTTCAAAATTTATGGGCTCTAACAAAAGCAGTGCTCAGTGGGCTATAAATGCCTACCCTAAAAAAATTATCTTCCATATTAACAAGCAACCCTTCTACTTTAAGGAACTAGATGAAGAAGAACAAACTAAACCTAAAACAAGCAGGAAAAAAATGAACCAATAAACACACTGGGCTATCAAAATATACAGTGAACTATTAAATTTTAACAATGCATTACAGCAAAAGACACTTTATCTTTAATTCCCTTCAAAGCACTTCCCTCCCTTCAAATACACTTAACCCATCGCGAGTGTTTTCATGAGTACGATGAAAATACAATGAATACTGCTGCCAAGTGCCATCCAGTGGAAAAGAAGGCTCAGAAAAACATCACAGGGTGTCCTCTCCACCATATTTACTGGATCTGGCACTATGCAACTGCTGGCTCTTTCCCAAAGTCCAAGTGACCATAAAAGATGATTGTTTTGAATTAACTCAGGACAATGAAGCAGCCACAGCAGTGCAACTGAAGACATGATAAAGGACTTTCAGGGGCTGGGGATTTAGCTCAGAAGCTTGCAAGTGCAAGGACCTGACTTCAATCCCCGGTACCAAAAAAAAAAAAAAAAAAAAAAAAAAAAATAAAAAAAAACCACAAAAATCTCAAAAAAA